GCACTCATGTGGTATGTCTAATAGACAACATGGACATTGGGTCTCTTCGCAGTCTCTGGAACTTATAGATGCTCGCCGGCAAATCCCGGCTGGAAGCGAGCACAATGAAACTCGCAAAGAGCTCCGGGCAAAACTCCGTGCTAGCCTGAAGAGAGACCGCGAATCTTGGTGGTCTCATCGTGCGTCAGAGATGGAAGTGGCCGCTGCCCTTGGCAACCATCGTAAGTTATTCCGTCTGATACGGGAAACGGGCAGCAGGAGACCTGGTGTTAGTGAAACTATACGTGACGAGAGTGGACAGCCTATCCACAATTTGTCAAAACGTCTGGAGCGTTGGGCTGAGCATTTTGAAAAGCAATTTAATCGGCAAGAATTGTTCGATTCGCCGGTCACTGATCGCCCGCTCCGTGGGCTGTCCCTTTGGATCCACCCTCTCGCTCAGAAGTCGAACGTGAGATCGGACTGTTGAAGTTGAACAAAGCCGCGGGACCAGATGATCTTCCTCCAGCCCTCTTCAAATTTGGAGGCTCTGCTCTTGTTGATGCTTTGCATGAATTACTAGTGAAACTGTGGGAGCAGGAAACTGTCCCAACCGACTGGAGCCGCTCCGTTATTGTTCCCATCTTCAAAGGCGGCTCGCGATCGGAATGCGGCAACCATAGAGGAATCAGTCTGATCTCCATCGCCTCCAAATTACTCGCGTCCATAATTCTCCACAGACTGACTGGCGCTCGTGAAAGCCAGATTCGTGAGGAGCAAGCCGGGTTTCGTCGGGGTCGTGGCTGCATCGACCACATCTTCACCTTGCGTCAGTTGTTGGAGCACCGTCACACATATTGGCGGCCCACCGTAGTCGTGTTCCTCGACATCAAAGGTGCCTTCGATTCGGTTGATCGATGTGCCCTTTGGAATTGTCTACTCAGGAAAGGTGTGCCCGAGAAATATGTAAATATTATCCAAGCATTATATGCGCGTAGCACGGGCAGAGTAAGGGCTTACGGCAGGCTGTCGCCACCCTTCAATATCTCCAGCGGTGTGAGACAAGGATGCCCGCTGTCACCTTTCCTATTCAACTTCGCTATTGACGAAGTCATGGAGATTGCATTTACAGGACATGACTTGGAAGGTGTGGAGCTACTCCCAGGAGAACGACTTCTTGACTTAGAGTATGCAGACGACATTGCCCTCATCTGTGACAGCTCCCAGACGTGTCAAGCCGCGCTGGACAGATTAGCACTGGCTGTCAGTCGCTTCGGGCTTTGCTTTGCACCACCGAAGTGCAAAGCGTTCCTCCAGGATTGGCAGGGTTCGCCCCCTGTGCATCCCCCATTATTTTTCACCCTCACTCCTACTAACCTTCCCACCCACCATTTCCTTATACACCTCTACCAATTTTCCTCCTCTCTCACTCCTCCACTTCCTATCTATCACAATTACCAAATCACATTTCCTTTCTCAACAATCTTCCTTTCCTCAATACCCCTCTCATACTACCACAACCTACTACAATATCCCCCTAACCTCCTTTTCCCCCCTCCACAAACCCCACCACAACACCAACCCAACCCCCACAACCAACACACCAAAACACCACACCCACCCAACCAACAAACAACACACCCCCAAACACAACAAAAACCACACAAACCAATAAACCCACTAACAACCACAAACAACCACCCCAACACAACCACAACCACCACCCCCCAAACACCAACACACACAACCAACAAAAACCACCAAACACCACCCAAACAAACCCCCCCACAACCAACAACACCCACACCCCACAACCCCCCACCCCCCACCCCCACCCCCACACCAAACCCCACCCCCCCCCCACCACACACCAACCACACCCCAACAACAACCACCAAAACCACCACCACCCCCGACCACACCCCCCCCCCCCCCCACCACACCAACCAAACAACCCCCCCACCACAAACCCCCAAAACACCCCACCCCCCAAACCCACCCCCACCACCACCACCACCACCACCACCCCCCCAACCAACCACCACAAACCCCCCCACAAACAACACAAACCCACAACACCCACACCCACCACCACCCCAACACAAAACACCCACCAAAACACAACCCCCCCACCCCCACAAAAACAACCCCAACCCCCCCCCACCAAAACAACACACCCCCACCCCCATATCCAATATAAAATCCCTATCTACTATATTTAACCTACACCTACTCCCATCCCCTCTCCCCCCCCCCCCCCTCCAACCCTTCACAACAACCCAACCATTTAAACACCATTCACATTTTACATATTCAATTCCATACTAATTCATCCCTCTCCCTCCCCTCCCCCTTCCCACACAACCCAAAACAACAACCCCACTCACCCCCCAATTTCCCCCCCTATACCTTCCTCCCCGTTATAGATAGATATTAGAACATATGGATGAAAGCTCACAACCATGTTCCCACTTAAAACAATACCAAAAAAACAACCTCCCTATCTCACCCCAATTACTAAATCTAACATATACAGATCTACTCACCTCAAACACCTCTCCTCTCTAAAAATAACTGGGCCTTTCTACATATCACTAACTATACCTCCTCCCCTCCCCTCCCCCTCCCCACTATACCAAACTTTACAACCCCCTACCATCAATACATCATCCATAACCTTCCCCCCCCAAACTACAAAAAACTTCCACTACCCTTAACTATCATTCCCCCTATTAAGTTACAATAAAAACCAATAATTATAATACCTATTTATATAACCCAACCCCCTTTCCCTCTTCCACTCCCTTCCACTACTATCTTTCTCTCAGACCTCCACTCCTCATAGTTCGAAAATCGTGCTCCCACTAAACTTCTGTCTTCACAATGCATAATCCCAATTACAATTTGTTTATACCAGTCATAAGATTCCCCCTATTACCAATTATTCCAAATCCCCATCTGGCTGAACACAGTATACTGAGTTTTTCTGACCTCTAACCAGTGACCAGCCTGAGAGAAGTGGCTCTCAACGGGCTCTTAAGGGACCCTTCCAGTATAGCTCAATGGGTCGACGAGGTACGCAAACCGTAGCACCACGTTATGATCCAGTCTCGTTGCGACGGTATTGCACGGTATTAAGGGTCGCTGAAAATAAAAGCTACAGAGAATCGACCGAGAGTGTATGCGATTGCCAAGGAGAGAACGTGAGGTTTTTCAAAGTGATTAACCGGATTGTGGATGATAGATTGAAGCACAATGACAAAAGTGCCAGGGATTTGACAAGAAACAAGTCGAATAGCCCACGCCAAAAGATAAAGGACTTACTCGGACTTCTTCAACTTGCGGCTGTGTATCCGCTAAACAGGAGATAACCTGCACATTGAATCTTGGCCATAATACTAACTTTGATATCCCCGCTTGCAACATGATGCGCTCGGCGTGATTGTAGCCAGAGGTCAGTGAAATGGCGTTGTCACTCAGGGCTTTGATGAAAATGGACGGATTCCTCTCACGTAATAGTCTGATGGCAAAATTATCCTGGCATGCTTCTCCAAGTTCGTGCGCTCGCAATATCAGAAGACCGGAAACAAGGCTAGCAGGCATCCGGTTCATTAGTAAGTCAACGACCAGAACACGCGATGAAACAAACACCACACCACCCCGCTTGTACATCGCCTCACGGTCTTTGCCGGTGACTTCTGCGGATATGATGACGGGTGTGTGAAGAATTTTATCTTTCGCGAGTAGTTCTGACAAAAACCTGGCTTCCAGCACTCGGTAGTTAGACACCAAGAGCAAATTGTGCGGATCTGAATGGAGTTTCAGGGTCAGATAGGTGATCGTGTCGAGTCCGAGGCCTTCAGCCAAAACCAGAAGAGAGCTGTCATCATGAATGTCCATAAGTATGGAAGCTTCGTAATCCAAAAGCTCGTGCATTTGTAATATCAAGGAACTCTGGGTAGAAGTGAGACTTCAGTGCACTAAAACGGTGAAGAGTGGAGTAAGCATGTCGTTCGGTTGAGAGAAGTAGAACATGGGACACACCGTCAAAAGCTAAGCCAGAACGGAACAAAAGGATATATCTGGAGAACACGAAACGTGCGGACAAAGTAGGCGTCACTGCTATTCGGAAACGTCAAGCAGAAATCAAAGGAGAAATCGAAGTAATGGATACAGAGTTTCAAACACTTTTGCTGTGCGGTGCGGTAACCAGAACCAGAAAATAGTAAATTATAGAAAGATGAAACGAAGACGAAGGCGTGGAACAAGATCCTATCGGATGACACCCAACAGTAGAAATCAGGGGTAAAGAAAAGCAAAACCAAGTAGCTTCCAGAAATGTAAGCCTATGGAAATCTATATTAATCTGTGATTCGCGGATGGAGGTAGGGTCTAGACTACTCTAAAGAACTGCATCCCATGAGGCGGTTTGACAGTATTTGAGCCCATCAAAGATAGCAGGCCTCGAACCCAGGACCACCGGAAATATTAGAACGGGCACATCCTAACAAGAATATTAGTCGAAATCATCGTCACCATCATCATCATCACCAGCAGCAGCATCATCATCAACAGCAGTACATCAGTCATTTGAACTAATGCTTCGCTGCCATACAACCATAAGGACCTATGAAGTAAAGAATAATAAGAGGGAGAGAAGGGGGACTAACCTGAAAAACGTAATGCCCTAAGCAAACATTCAGCGTCAAGGCACTTTCACATTGGGCTAGCAACATACCGTCACAAACAGCTGGCTATCGTGCAAAGATAAGGCGGCATCGGCAACACACGTTGATTGTGGCTTTCACTGCCCCGCGTCATAATCAGCCATTACCCCGCAGATAACTCAGCACCAAACACACTTTAAACAGACAATCCGATTAGGAGACGGCAGCAGACGCGCCACTGGTGTCTACTGCGAGCCATATCCAGTAAAGTCTCGAGCAAAGCCCAAGGCGAGTCACGTGGACTCCAGCCCGGAAAGCGAGACGGACCGACGGCACCCAGTTTGGTCGTCAGTGACTTCATTTCCGCTGCCAAGTCAACTTCTGTCCACCTCGAGCCTTGCGCCATCCTACACCTGGTAGACTGAACAAGGCCCTCCTAGGTAAGCGGTGACCAGGCATGCGTTGCACGTGCCCGAGCCAAAGCAACTTATTCAGTGCTATCTGTTGTTCTAGGGAGATAGCAGGATTATCACCACCTAGTACTCGCCTACGCACATCATCGTTGCGGATACGTTGGTGCCATCAGACACCAGCAATGCTTTGCAAACAACGATGATCAAAGACTTGAAGGCGCCTCAGATCTTCAGACCGAAAGGGCCAAGTCTCACTACCATAGAGCAGGACGGCCCTCACTGTGGCCTTGTATACCCCGCCTTTCAAACGGAGGGAAACTCTCTTCTGTCGCCAAAGATGACGCAGGTTCAAGAAGGCAGCTCTGGCGTTTGCAATGCGTGAGCTCACGTCAGTTTCTATGCGCCCATCATTTCTGATGCAGCTGCCAAGATAAGTGAATTGATCAACCACCTCGAGTTCTTCGTTAGCAAGCGTCAAGGGGTCATCGAGTGGCTGGTGGTCCTGCAGCAACACTTTGCACTTTGAAGGTGCGAAGTGCATACTAAATAATGGGACCACTGGATAGGCTATTCAGGGTTGATTGTGCCGCCTCAACATTGTCGAAAAGCAAGATGATATCGTCCGCATAATCTAGATCAACTAACCTTTCACCAGGCAACACTTCAACGCCTACATCGTGAGATTCCGCAAGGGAACACTCCATAATAGAATCCAGGACGAAATTGAACAAAAATGGGGAAATCGGACAACCCTGACGAACGCCACTTGTGGTCGGAAAGCTATCCGATAGGCCACCGTAGACTCTGACGCGGCCTGTAGTGTTCGAGTGTAGAGCACGAAGGATGTTCACATATTTCGTGGGAACACCTTTCCGCGCAAGTAATTCGAACAGAATCGATCGATCGACTGAATCGAACGCACTCTTGAAATCGAGGAACACAGCTATTGTCGGTCTGCGGTATGCGTGGGGCTGCTCTAGCACCTGCCGCAAAGTAAATATATGGTCTATACAGCCACGTCCTGGACGGAAACCGGCCTGCTCTTCCATAATCCGAGATTCCCGTTCCGCAGTGAGGAGAGGAACGATGATCGAGGCAAATAATATTGTCACAACTGGCGTTAGGCTAATACCCCTGTGGTTAGAACAGCCTGTGCGACTGTCCCTCTTGTATATTGTCACTATAATCGATTCGTTCCAATTAGCCGGTACACTCTTTCTTCCAGACACATTCGAATAGGGAGGTCAGTGCTTTGCAGAGGACCTCACCCCCATCCTTAAATAGTGCAGGTGGGAGGGAATCCGGGCCAGCGGCACGAAAACGATTGAGGGCTGTGATCGCGTTTCGGACTTCGGCCTCCGACGGAAACTCTAAACTAACCGTCCATGGCACGTCCTGCATCACCTGAGTAGGAAGAGGTCCGGGAGCAGGGGGCCAGCTGAGCTGATGTTCAAAATGTTCAGCCCAACGAGCCATACGGCACTCCTTATTGTGTATCAGCGCACCCGCGCTGTCCCTGATTGTCTCACTGACGCCTGGTTTTCTGGGACCAGTGGTGCGGATTAGCTGGAAGAGCTTCCGGTAATAGCCTACTGCTCCTGCGTCCTCCATTTCTTGAGCCCGACTGGTCCACCAGGCTTCCTTGTCAGCACGTAGGCTCCGCTTTAGTTCATGCCTAATAGCCCGTCTGGTCACATTGTGTTCAGAACCAGCCGGGAGGTGTCTTCTAGATTCCAACAGGTTCACCGACCTCTCGGAGATCCAGTGACTGGTGCGGTGACGATTGATAGTGCCACAACCAGATGCTCCTGCGTTGCGCATGGCGGCCGAGTACCTATTCCACTGAAGCTCAGTGTCATTAGGACAAGACAGCGGAAGTTTGGTATGCAGTGCTTCTTGATAGGCTTGCCTGACCGAGGATTGAGACAATTTCTCCGTTTCCAATCGGGGGAGACGCTTTGTGCGCCTTCCGGTAAAGTTCATGGAGAAACGACAGCGCACCAAGGCATGATCAGAGTCGACACAGGTACTCCAGTACGAGCGGTAATCTAGGATTGAACCACGCCATCTGTAACTTATGGCTATGTGGTCAATTTGGGTCCATCACTGGCCAGCTACAGGAGGACGCCAAGTGGCACTTCGGCGCCCACTGTGTCTAAAAGCAGTGCTACTAAGAAACAACTGGTGCTCCGCACACAATTGCAGCAGACGCTCACCGTTTCAGTCCGTTCGGAGTTAAGCCCACAATTACCACCCAGCTGAGCTTCTGAAGAGCTCAGACGCCCTACTTCTGCGTCGAAACTTGTGTCGAAACCTCTGCCCCTTTGACTTCCGCGTAACGACAAGCAACGCCCGGCACAATGGTCAATGACTGATTGGAGAGTCATAGTGAAGCACTCACTGTGTGAGTGGACTGCGACGCACAATCTCAATGTGGAACGCGATTCCCAATGAAGTGAACCATGATCAATAGGACCGTAGCTGAAACAAATGGAAAATCGGCTTTGCCCAACTAGAAACACTGCACACGACGACGCGTTTCGACCTTCTTTTATCTCATCAGGTGGAGAGAGGACGCCACAAACCCACTACCGTTGGAAGATTAGCCGAAACCTCTACCACCATGGCTACTCGGTAAAACGGGCAACACTTGACACAACGGTTAGACACCCATTTGCCATCTGTCTCAGCTACGGTGATCGATTGAGAGGTACACTTAAAACGGAAGCCCGGTCCATATTAGATGGCACGTCGCAATGCATTCACATAACGAGTGGCTAAAAATGATGCACCACCCAAACGCTGCTTCGCTTCGGCGTTTACTATGCAATGAACTCATTTGAGGACGAAATCAAAACGCGGAAAATAAAATCACGACCGCGCTTATTCTCATCCCAAGTACACCAAAACCACCAACTGAAAGGCGCAAATACTCAAAAGATGGTTCATACGTATTCGATAAAGCAGGCTCTAAACTTCATTAACTTCCTTATGGAATCACACACACACATTATACACGTTAGCTAGAGGTGGGAAACACCTCAGCTACTGTGTCGCAATACTTAAAAGAAAAAGGGAATAAAATGCAACAGGTGCAAGCCAACTGAACTACCTGTAACGGATGGGCATAGTGCCGGTAAGCTACCTGCCGGCTACTATGCATCAGAAAAAAATAATTTACTATACGAAATTATAAAATGCTAAATAATGAGATCGTAGTTGGAGGGGGAGGCTGAGAGGATTGGGGTGGGACAAAGAAACTCACAGCACGAACGCCACTGAGGTCGGCTCCTAGCCAATATCAACAAGTGTATCCAGCCAAACGTGTTCATTGTCTTTCGGATCCCAAAAAGGGTGCCGAGACGCCCCAACTGAGGCCAGCTTCGAAGTGAGGAGCTTCATTACTCTCGACTAAGACACCGATTGGCCATCTCTCCTCTACTTCCATCCACACTCCCGGCGCGCAAACAACGCACGTCGCGGGAGTCATTGGGATGGCATGCCGAGCCATCGGAGCCTGGCGCAGGAGTCGGTGGGCTGGCATGCGTAACACGTGGTCGAGCCATCGGAGCCTGGTGCGTGGAATAACGGTGCTGAGCGGGTCATTTCCTTTTCCTGTGCCGTAAACAAGGCGTCGAACACGCTCGTTGCTAACTCGGTGTTCGCACCAGGTGTGAGCTAAATTACGAAGGCACCGGTGGTCGAACGTAACTAGCCTCTTCAGGTCCGCTGCTCTAAGGGGCCAGGTTTCACAACCGTACAGTAGGGTCGAACGTACCGCTGCATTGTACACTCTACCCTTCAGGGCAAGAGTGATGTCGCGCCGGCGCCATAAGTGCCGAAGGTTAGCAAAAGAGCCTCGAGATTTTGCCATACGGTTCGTGATCTCATCTTCAATCC